AGAGAGAGAGAGAGAGAGAGAGAGAGAAAGAAAGAAAGAAAGAAAGAAAGAAAGAAAGAAAGAAAGAAAAAGAAAAGGAAAGAAAAAGACAACATGAATAAATTTCTTTTATCTTCCTGGACCTGCCTTCCAAATTTATATATATTTTTCTAAAATTAAATGTGTTTTTCTAAAATAAATTGTAAAATTATCCTGATCATCATATCGTATCAAACATTAAGAACTCTTTTAGAGTCCACCAACAAATGATTTAGTTTTGCTATCAATAGAGAGAGAAATTATAGCTCAGGAAATCATATGCTGTTAATCCAATAGGTGAAACCTATTCATCAATATATTTATCAACACTATTAGAGTTATTTTAGCTACATAAAATATACTGTGTGTTAAAACATATTTTTATTCTATTAAACAAAAGTATTGATGTGCTAGACCTACTTAATTTTATACTTAGAATACTATTCTTTATAATTTTTTTTAATTTAAAGATTTTTATTTATTTATTTGACAGAGAGAGAGAGAGAGAGACAGCGAGAGAGGGAACACAAGCAGGGGGAGTGGGAGAGGGAGACACAGGCCTCCCCGCTGAGCAGGGAGCCCGATGCGGGGCTCGATCCCAAGACCCTGGGATCATGAGCTGAGTCAAAGGCAGCCGCTCAACCGACTGAGCCACCCAGGTGCCCCAGAATGCTATTCATTAAAGTATATTTCTCTTATTTGTATCTAATGACATGAAAAATACTAATTTGTACATAAAAGTTGTTTAGCACTTTTGCTTTTTCTCAATTAAAGTATAAACTAGCCACATAAATTACCTCATTTAATCTTCACAATAACCCTTTAAGGGAGTAATTACTATCATCAACTGAGTTAAACAAAGTTCAGCTCAGAAAAACTAAACAACTTGTCCAAAAGCTTATAGAACTTCTAAAGAGAGGCATGGCATGTTATCCCTAATCTTCTAAATCTAAATGTCCTCCTCTACAGCATCACTCTGTCCATCCAAAATGACTTGACCACTAAGATTCTGTTTCAGCATCCAACAAAGAGGCTCTATTTTCCATTCAGAGAATAAAAGTGGAAAAAAAACATTATGCCTAACAAAGTTTTATTACAGCAAATGCTAACTTTTTAAAAAGATTTTGTTTATTCATTTGAGGGAGAGAGAGAGAGAGAGCACCCATGGGGGGGGGGGGGGCAGGCAGTGAGCAGGGAGCCTGAAGCGCCAGCGCAGGGCTCCATCCCATCCCAGGACCAGGAGATCATGACCTGAGCCGAAGGCAGACACTTAACCATCTGAGCTACCCAGGCGCCCCAGCAAATGCCAACTTTTAAAATTGAATGTTTGGTTTAAAAATTTGTCAATTGTTAACAATACCTCCTAAAATGGTTTTTTCAAGATCATTAATATTTCTGCACTACAATAAAATGAAGTGCTACATTTTCAACCATGAGGATAAAATCTAAAAATAATGAAATAATTCAATTACATTGCTCAGAAATCAATAGGCTCCCAGTTACAAATCAAATATCTAAATATACTACAAGTATTATTTACATCTGATTTGCTAAAGTTAGGAAGATTTCTGGGATGTAAATTCCAGTGCAAAGATATACAGAGGCTATATAAAATAGATTTGCTAACTACATATGACCTCAAACATTAGTTTTTACCATTAAAATACTAACCGCTACTCCTTCAATCCCTATTTTATTTCCACATCTCCCCTTCATCCCCAAATTACTGTGAAATCATCATACTAAGTACCCAGACCTACTGTTCAAAAGTTTTAGGACTGGCTCTGTTAGTTCACCATCAGTGACCAGCTGTAAGCACATCCACGGAGCATGGAGAGGCACACAGGAATGAATGGTAAAGATCACTGTGCCAAAGCAACTCCACATGTAACCATTCACTTATCAACATAAAAACCCAAACCTGAACCACCAGTTCAGCCCACGTGAACCCCAAACAAGTTAACAGAAAATCTACATCTTCTGTAAATTTAAGGAAACACTAAGATTAATTATGTCCATGGAACAAATGCATTACTTAGACCAAATCAATATAAATAAAGGAAAAAAAATTCCTGTCCATCAAAGCATCTGTCAACAAAACCACACTTTTACACACCCATACACACCAGTACTCCTTAAAAGTTTTATTATCCTTTTCAGGCAAACTGCGTTATATACAACCCCTACTTCCTATTTAAATACATTTTTGGGGGGAAGTGCCTGGGTGGCTCAGTCGGTTAAGTTTCTGCCTTCGGCTCTGGGATCAATCCCGCATCAGGCTCCTTTGCTCAGCAGGAGCCTGCTTCTCCCTTTGCCTCCTTCTCTCTCTACCTGCCGCTCCCCCTGCTTGTGCTCACTCTCTATATATCTGACAAATAAATAAATAAAATCTTTAAAAAAAACAAACTTTTTTTTATAAAGCCTAAAGGATTTGAAACGTACAAAAAAGGGAAAATATTTTAAAGAAGTTTATGGTGATTTGGAAGAAAAAAAAAGTTTAAATGCCAGTCCCTAACTTACCTGATTTGAAAAAGGAAATCCCAATTTTCATAAATTAGGCTTGGTTAATGAGATTCCACAACCACTTCATCAAAGCTTTAAGACATACAGGTTGGGAGAGAAGGCTGCTACCGCTAATTAAATCCCCAGTAGGCACAAGAAAGTTAAGAAAGTAAAGGTTCCACAAGAGGCAGGAGCTGCCAGCCAAAATTGTGGCAAACTACCTAAAAAGATCTAACCTTATGGCTACCATGTAAGGCTTCAAGAGCTCTTCTCGGCAGCCAGGAGTTGGAATCCTTAGCTTGGGGCAAGTTCACACACAGTAAAACAGAATTGAGATTGTGTGCACTCCTCTTCAGAAATGAAATAATCACCCAATCAACTTATGACTCCAATTAAGTCTATGCTGTGTTCAGAGGTAACTGGAGTAAACATTTGGCTTTGAAGGCTCTGGTTTTTGATCCTGGTTTGAGTGATCTAAAATTCCATGCTTGTTTAGTATAAAGGACTGCCTTTAAGGCCATGCATACAATAAATGATGTTTAAAAGTTTAGGATTATTGAGAAAAGTAATTCACAGTCCTAGTTTGAGAATTCTCAAAGAAGTATTCACTGACTTTTAAGGGGCATCAATCAATTCTATAAAAATTATCACCATTTGAATTCAGTTGACTATTTTTAATGTTATGCCATAACACTTTAAGGAAGAAAGATTAAAAAAAGGACAATGAAAATAACAAAATAGAATATTTTAATTCCAAAGAGTATGGTAAGAAGGGGCTTAGACATGGGTTATTGATAATCTTTCTAGTCCAATTTCCAATATTCCACAAAAATTTAATCATAGAATATTTAATAAAATGTGATCCAGCAATCTATTTTAAGACATCTAAATTACTAAGATTATTAGAAAATAAATAAATAAGCGGCTTCCCCCACCCACCTCTTCCCAAAATACAGTTGTGCTCAAGCGAAAGGAACAAAAACTAAAAGCATAAGACTCACCTTTTGTTGACTGGTTTTTCATCCTTTTCATAGGGTCGGACAAACCACTTCCCAATCCTAACAAAGTTCTTATCCATTAGGCACCTACAATAATTACACCAAGAATTATATTTATAGTTTCAATAACAAATTAGCAAGTCACTAAATCAAACAATCGCAGATGAGATATGCTACTGAAAATAAAAACATCACTAATTAAACCATCAAAATGTTTTCTTACTACTTTAAATTTTTATGTTATAAAATGCTGAAAGAACTTTCTGTCTTCGGGTATAAATTTTTATTATGCATTATTCTTGCACATGGAAAAAATTATGCACAATTGGTGGATATAGTCCTGAATTGTCTTAAACTTCTGAATTACTTCAAATCCAAACACACTTTTGCATTATTTCAATTCTTGGCTCATCAAGAATGTTGGGGATACAGTCAGCATTCCTTAAGAGTACCTCAGAGGTATTCTTCCTAGCCACTGATGCTCATTTCACAAGTTGTAATGCTGGCTTTCTGGCTTGGCACGTGATATGCAATGCTTTCGCAGAGACCTCAGAAACAGAAGCACTGCAGAGCCTCTTCTACTCAGGTATTTTCTTTTATAGGTGTGGTGAAGCACATGGCTATGGCTCTGCAGGAAACAAGGAACTGCAGCCATTTCTTCAACGGTGAATATCGGCTTCCCCTGTATCTAAAAGTTGTGCCTCACTTCTGTTTCCATGCTGTATTATGTACATTGTGTTTCAATGTCAAATTATAGGGTAATCTTTCTGAAGACATGTTAAATGGCAATTGAACTCAACTCATATAATACCAAAAATGCACACAATTCAATCGAAGTGACAACAATATAGACAGCTATGACCAAGTTCACTCGTGTGCAGGCAGATGACAGCTATATCCTAACTGCCATCTGGCCAATTCCGAGATGCCATCATTTGTAAGGAGTATCCCTGATTTTAAAAATATAAAAATGTGGGAGAAAATGTACATTTTGAAATTGATGAAATAAAGTAATCCCTAACATTATTGAATGAAATGACACATATTTTGTAAGAAAACCTGTCAGAAAGTTGGATGTAATTCTTCTATCCACCAGTAAAAGAGCTACATAGCAATTCTTTATTCAATATTCAGGCAATTCTGCACCTGGCTTTTGCCTCTGTAATTTCCATACCACCAAGGAGGACGGGGGCAATTCAAGCCTTCACCCAACTCGTTACAGGTTAAATGGGTTAGTAACTGGCAATGGTTTCTGCTGGCCACAATGTAACTCCCTGTGGGCAGAGCCAATGTGGAGCACCGCTGCATCAAAACATCATTGGCTTCAACTGCTTTTATTTTGAAAATGAATTTCTACAACAATCTTCCTTGCTCACAATGTAGAAAATCATTTTTAAAGCAAACCAATCTGTTTTCCCAAGATTATAAATTAACTTGCTTTTAGGGTTAAAGACGTGACTCCATTAAAGTTAGAATAGGAAATGTGGAATACCCAATAAGGTGGAAGTATTCTCAAGAAGCAAAACTGAAAAAGTATCTCCACAGTTTATACCCTAGCTCCAAGACTTAACTGTATTCATCAGGCAGGTAGGCAGGCAGGATGGATGGATGGATGGATGGATGGATGTAAAGACATTTCCACTGAAAGACTCCAGTGTATGGTAACAGATTCCCTCCTCCAATAATACTACCAATAACTACCAAGAGAATCACTACTACCACCACCACATTCGATTACCAAGTGCAGTATAGCATTTAATTATTGTAAAATCTACTATGAGATAGATGCTACATGCCAAATTTTATACAGGAAGAAGCTAAGACACAGTGAGAATGTCACCACAGAAGGTCACATAACTAACTGACAACAGAGTAGGGAGTAAGCCCAGGTATATATCTGATCACAAGGCCACAACATTTAACTATTACCATATACTGACTCTCATGCTGTCACATTTCTGCAATTCTTTCCTCATTTTCAAAGTCCAGATACAGCCTGTAATCGATGAGCCTATTTAATGTTTCTTTACTCCCTAAGAGCTGTTATTAAGTTGAAGGTGTTCTTAAAAATCGATAATGCTTAGCATGAAAGTAATGGGGCATGTAACAGGTACAAAATCACATCAAACACTAAACGTGGTCTTCTACTGCCACACATCCTCACTTAATAAATACCATTTTAAATAAAGTATTCATACTCTCATATATGTCTTGAAGGTCAGAATTCAAAAGACTCATTTATTCAGTAACAGAAAAAACAACATGAATTTACAGTTTACGGAGAGAAAAAACAAGGCTTTAGATAGTATAATATAAAAGAAAAACAGATAAAATATCTCTGACTAAAGAAGACAAAGTGTAAAGCTTGTTTCAAAACTCTTGCCCTTCTATGAAGTAAAAGCCACAAATTCTATTTGTTGATTTCATTCCAGTACAAACAAGGGGTTGAGGGTAAAGGAGCAGCACATAGCCAAGACCACTGAAGTACAAAGGCAAAAGGCAAAAAGCTAATGAAAATCCTGAGTCTGACTGCGCTAACAAATCTCCTGGAGTTCCCACTACAGATCCTACTTCGTCAGGCAATGTCAAAAAAAGGTTATTATCACTAATACACAAAACAGCCATGGAAACTACTGACCCTTGAACCTGAAACTATCTGGTTCCAAATGATAGTAATAAATGACTTAGTGATTTTCAACTGCTAATCAGTTTCTATGTGATCAGTGATCTCCTACACAATGAAAGAGAAACATGCGAACACAAAATTGCTATGGGTGAAGTATAGCTGACTCTTCAACATTCCAAGGGTTATAGGGGTTCCAACCCCTGTGCAGTTGAAAATCCATGTATAACTTTTTGAATCCCTAAAAACTTAAGTACTAATACCCTACTGCTGACCAGAAGCCTTACCAATAGCATAAAAAGATTGATACATATTTTGTGTTTTGTGTATTATATACCATATTCTTATAATAAAGCAAGCTAGAGAAACAAAAATGTCATGAAGAAAATCATAAGGAAGAGGAAATACATTTATAGTACTGTACTATATTTACCCCTCCCCCCCCAAAAAATACAGGTGTAGGTGGACCTGTAAAGTTCAAACCATGTTGTTCAAGGGTCAACTGCAGTATTTTTATTCAGTTCTATAAGTACTGGATTTGCAACTGATTTATCTCTGCATGAGGAACCAGTCTCAAATGTCATGTTCAGCAGTGATATAGCAGAGAGTTAGCAAAGTTACCAAGTACCTCAGAGAAGGTTGGAACAAAATTAGTGAAGTCACTGAGCACTGTGGCCCTGACCCCCAACCCAAGAGAGAATTAGTTTCTCAGTTAAATGTAAAGATGGGTAAGTATGAGGATGAAGTTTCTTTTCACTCAAGAAACAGGTAAAAAGAACTCAGCAACTATCACTATCAATTTTTACACTCTGCAATCTCCCTAGTTTCAACTATACCTGATGCAAAAAACAAAATTCACTCAATTTCTCTCTTTCTCATACACACAAACACACACACACACACACACAGAGAGAGAGAGAGAGAGACATGGATGCTCCAAGACTAATACAGAAAGTATTTCCATCTGGTGTTTTGTACTTTAGGTTATGGGAGGAAATAAAAGAGGAGGGGTGTGTCTTTGCTGAGGAAGACACTTCTCCACCTGACTGACACCTGGGACTATGCTGGCTCAAGAGCAGACTTATACTGAAGGACTAAGCCCTTGGTTCTCAATCATTTTTGGGTCATGATTCTACAGTATAAGTAAATCCAATGGAAGTTATTATAGACTCCTCTCTCTCTCAAATAAATAAAATCTTAATAATAATAATTTTTTAAAAAATGGAGCATTTTGGTGGCTGAATCGGTTAAGTGGCTGCCTTCGGCTCGGGTCATGATGCCAACGTCCTGGAATAGAGCCATGCATCCGGCTCCCAGCTCAGTGAGGAGCCTGCTTCTCACTCTCCTTCTGCCTGCTCCTCACTGTTTGTGAGCATGCACGCGCGTGCTCTCTAATAAATACATAAAATCTTAAAAAATAGTAATTTTTTAAAAAGTTAGTATAGACTTTCTCTCCTGAAAATTTCATGGAAAAGCAAAACACTGCATATAATTCCACAGGGTTGGTGAGCGCTGTGAAGCAGACCCTAGAGTGGGAACCTCCGTATAAAACACGACCACCGATCACTACTACCCCTGCTCTGGCCTGGAGTCGGTCCCACCCCACTCTATCCTGCCCTCCTCTAATTTAATTCTATTCATCTTTCTTGTCCCAGATCAGCCAGCACAGCACTCTAACATCTACAAATCAGCACTTTTATCACCAAGTTGTAATGATTCATTTCTATGGCTCTTTTTTCCCCATGAAACTATGAGAAATCTGGAGGCAGACATAGTACCTATCTTATTTACTGGCAATATTCAACAAACATTTAAATCCCTGTTATGTAATATGCTTTATGTTCTGCTCTATACTAGTAGGTGCACAATAAATATCTGAGAAATGAATGCTATACGCTAAGGAGTGTTTTCCCATTCACAACTTAACAGTGTTATTCTTCGTGTTTGTGACCATTAATCATGGGCAGCCTCATATTATTATTTGAATTTTCTTGTGTGTATACGTTCCCGACTAGTGAATAACGTTGGAAGGAAAAATAAAATCTACATATTTCACTTTTTTTAATAGCCCATCAGCTCTCACTCCACACTAAAATTATAGTAGATACTTAACATGTAGGGAATCACACAGATGCTTAAGGGAAAAACAAAAAACAAAAAACAAAAAAACAGGAAGACTAGCACAACTGTCCATATACTTTAATTATACTTTAAGAACAGAATTAAATCTTTTTGAGAGATAATTCTGAAGTATAAAAACTAAAGAACGTCAGAAATATAATTTCTCCTTTTTATAATCTATAAACTTTTATTATTTTTAAGGGACAAAATTTATAGTTAACTTGACAAATATAACCTATCAGACACTCCATCTACCAAAAATTGCTTCAAATCAACATCACAAATAGCACCAAGAATGTCAGTTAACCCTAGTTGTTCACTCAGTAATCCCAGTCATCCCTGA